TAATTTTTATAAATTTTTTAATTGTGATATAAATGAATTGTCTTTAATTAGATTAGGGATGAATTAATTTTAAGATATGTGTCAGTTGGTTTTGAGGCATGCGATTGCGATAAGTTGATCCAAAATACCCTAACAATTAAATAAAAAAAGATACTATTAATATATCATAACTTATACCTTTAGGTCATAAAGACACCAATTAAACAAAAAAAATCCTATAACAAATATAATATTTTTTAATTTTTTATTATAATAGCAAGGTAACAACAGTTTTTTTAATAAGAAGTACAGACTTTTTATTTATTGGTTTTATTTAGAAGATGAACAATTATTTCATTTTACTACTGTTCATCACATGGGAACATCTTATTTTGACCTGAACTGGATTTCTCTAAGCAAAGGGCTGTTGGTTGTAACAGTCAAGATAGTTGCCATAACCGACTTTCAGTAAGTCACAGTATCTCTTATAGAACCCGATGCGGTCCGCAACCAGTGCGTTTGGACCTTTGCCACATTCAATGCCACCGTTGATGATGTTGGTAATGGCCCCGTACCCGGGGACTCGACCAGCTGCCCTGTCTGCGGCGGATGGGGTCCATTTTCCGGTGATTACATCGTGACATGAAGGTTTGGGGGACTGTGGAGTCATCCAGAACCAAAAAGCTGTCTGGAAAGAAATGGTAACGTCTGTAGCTACAGCATCAGGGTTATTTAGCAAGTCGTAGTTAATTGCTTTTCCTGCGGGACCATAGTTGTAATTGCTGCAGAGTCAAAGTCAAGGTCAAGAGTCAATAATTGGAAAATTGCCCCTTCAATATGAGAAGTCATTTCCAAATTTTCTAGAATCATATCCTTGTCAAGGCAGCCTAAAATGAAAATTGGGATAAACTTATTATTGGATTTCACTTTAGTGATTAAGAAATTATTTGAGTTATATTGAAAATATAAATTTAAATTCTTTTAATGTTGTTTAAGTTAAGCAGCTTTAATCAGTTACGTTTAGTATCTTTAAAAATTGAATTTTATTTAATATATGTGAATAATATGGTTTATAAATACTCATAAAATCAATTAAGTTAAAAATCAAAATATCTATATTTATATTAAAAAAAAAGAATAAATACAGTTCTTTCTTTGCCAAAATAAAGAAAGTAAATAGAAAAAATAAAAAATAAAAAAAAATTGTGGGACAAGGTCACAAGGAGAGTAATTAGTTAATACTTACTATGAAATCATGATGGGACCTCGGCCATAATACTTTTGGCCAGGAACACAAGGCCACTGTTGACTTGGTTGGCAATAATCTCCAGGGTTACCTTGCTCCCTAAGGTAGCAATAGCCCCATGCATATGGACCATCCGGGGCAGCAGCCCACCCACCTGTACAAGAGTCATGGATTACAAACAATCTTCACATTTTGTGAAGGTTTTAATTTCAAAATTTCCGATTCTTGTAAAACTTATATACTTAGGAAAGGAATAAAAAATATGGATAGATTTGTGAAATGGCGTATAGGAATTAAACCTGTAGTTTGATGAGAAGTTTGAGCTAAGAAGGCGGCAATCTCTCTTTTCTTAGTGTCAAT